CAGTTGGAAGTGGCTGAGCCAATTTCAACACGAACAGCCCTCTTTTGTGTGGTACTCAACAGATTTTGTCTCGCATCCAGTGTTCCTTCCCTGGCAAACTGTGCGACCTGCAAGGGCAGGGTTTCCTGGGTCTCCCAGGGCAGGTGCTCGGCCTCATTGCCTCTCTGGAAGCAAAGAAAAGGAACGGGGTCAATTTGCTTACTGGAATTTTGCCAGGGAGACCTGGATGGGAGAAAAGGAGAGAAACCTGGCTCAGAAAAAGGCTAACATAAAGCACTTTTTTTTGTAGGTGAAAGCAACCAGTGCTGTTAATGTCTTTATTCTGGTGAAAAGTATGGCAGGCTAATTGCAGGAATGAGCCAATTTGGTACACAGGAAATGATGAGAAAAAGACCCCTTTTGGAGGCTGGAGACAGCTTCATCAGAGCACAGCTGTCCAATAGAAAGAGCATGCTAGCCACAAATATCATTGTAAATATTTTAGTAAGCGCATTTAAAAAGAAGAAACAGGTGAATTAAAGTCATACAGTTAGTTTACCTCAATATATTCAAATACTATCATTTCAGAAGGAGACAAGCCACATCTCAAATGCTCAGTAGTCACATGCGGCTAATGGCTACCATATTGGACAGCACCTTTTCAGAGAACTAAACATGAAAATATTTTTAAAGAGAAAAACTCCGTGAGGATAAAACACAGTCTTTCTTCTTTTTTAAGATTTAGTTATTTATTTATTTATTTAGAACATGTGAGTTGGGGGAAGGGCAGAGGGAGAGAGAGAATCTCAAGTAGACTCCATGCGGAGCACGTGGAGCCCGACGTGGGGCTCAGTCGCTCGACCCAGAGATCACCATCCCAGCGGAAATCAAGAGTCGGGTACATAACCTCCTGAGGCACCCCAAAACACAACATCTTTTTAAGAACTCAAAAGTGTTACCTGTTTCAGTGTATTTCAACCAAAACACAGACCATTTCTAAGTCATTAAAATCTAGAATAATATTTGAGAAAGAATCCAGGACTTGGTAATGAAAGGGAAAATGGGAGAATAGCACCAATTAAGACTGATGTTGGCCCTAAATGAGACGATATGTATGTTTTAAAAAATAGAACGCTGTGTGAATATGCCACTATGAATAGTATTCCTTTTATTTTATCAGAATGTTGGTCCTTGGCTGTGTAAACACTTCAAATATCTGTAGAAGATTCTTTCTTTCCCAAATTTTTATGCTCTTTGCCTTTAAAGCAATTATACATTTGGAAGCACTGACCAGGAACATATTCAAATTCCCAGAAATAATCAGTCTGATAAAAACTCATGGCATTTTCTTCCACCAATCAAGAAATATCTGAATCTGCCCACATGGAAAATCTAAAGACTTTCTGAACGTAGCTAAAAATTTGAGGGGGAGGGGAGAAAATGCTGATGGTTTCTCAAGGCTTTTCTGGTCAGATATCTGATTTAAAGACACCATATTCTGAGAGATAGAAGTACCTATAAATATATAAACATGTTTTTTTTTTCCTGCATCATGGCTGAGATTTCTGAATTTCTCTGTAATTACATTTAGCAGGAGAAAAACATCCACGCCTGTGCTGAGCAGCTCCCAGCAATCTGTCAGCTTTGCACAGCGTAGTAACCTACTGATCGCTGCCTCAGCCCTTCAATAAATACGTAGGCTGCGTGTGTGTGCTTAGAGAACTTCACAGGTTTCCATGGATACAGGAATTTTAGTACTGAGACGCATTTACTATCGCTTTTCTTGTCACCGAGAGTCCTGTAAACACTTGTGTTGTAAGATTTTGTGCAGAAATTTAGCATTTTATAGAGGACCAAGTCAGAATTACCTTTTCCCAGATGTATCGTATTATTTTCCCTTAGGGCAAAGTCCCTGAAATCATTTATATCTGTGGCCTCTTTTTGGTGATATGCTTTCATTTATTAGACTAATAAAAGACAATAAAGGTTTAACTACATTGTCAGTATCACTTTTAAGTGGCAGATATTTATACTATGTAAATGTTACAATTAATAAATAAGACAACTGGCTCTGAATTTAAAATGAGAAGAGGCAAATAGGGAAAGTAGGACTAGGAATATAATATTGAGCCATCTCTCTCCCTGAACATGGTGAAATTTAAGTGTCATTTCCAAGGTTATCCTGTGTTGTATCTATTGACCAAGCACAATTTGAATTTATTCTTTCTTACTTACATTAAGCTTTTTGTATATTTTAAAGACCTTTCCACAGATCTGTGAGAATGGCAGGCTATGTGTTATTTTTCCTATTTCACACAAGGAACATATGCCATGTCACACAGCTAGTAAGTGGTAGAACTGGGATTAGAACCCAAGACTCTTGACTCACTGGTCAGGGCTTTTCTGTGGGTTTTTTTTTTTTTTTTTTTTTTTTTTTTTGTGGAATGCGGGCAACTTCTTCTATAGAAAGTACACCCCTTTCCTTCCTTCTGTGTTTCCGTGTGCCTCTGACCTGGGCTTCATTAAATTGCTCTTTTCTCTACCTATCCTCTTGGTGGCCCCAGAGACTTTGTTCAGCCTAATTTACCAAGCTCAGTAATTTCAAAAGTACATGACCCTTCAGGAGCAGTAATCCTAGAGAGATTGCACAGCCCGGATGTGCACTGCATGAGGACTCTTTAGGGAAACAGTTTTCTAGATCCGATCATACTGACTGAGACTATACAAAGCAGACAGAATGAAAGGCTCGAGCACTTTGTATCAAAATCTAGTCTGAACAGACATGAGCCTGGATATTGCAGTCAAGAAAAAAGCTTTTACTTTAATAACATGGATTTCAGGGTGCAGGAGTTGGACTATTTGAGTGGCTGTCTCAACGCTCACTGTGCTCACGTAGCCCACAGACTCTGAGTCACCTCAGCAAGTATCTCAGCCGAGGCCAGGAGATCTTTTTAAGACCGTTTTTTTGCTCTAGGCCTCATTTACCTCATATTTGTACAGGCCTTTTGTTTTTGTGGTGTTTTGCACGTGGGTGTCTTTCTAGTTTTGTTTTGTTTTGTTTGTTTAATTTGGAAGGAAGGCTTCGCTTTCACTGTCCAATGCAAAAGAGAGTCTGGGTAGAGGAAGAACTCTCCGCTAAGAGGCCTGGTCTTGGTCCAATCCCCACAGACAATGAGTGAGGAGCTTTATGGCTCAGGCCTCAGGGGCAACTGCCAGGACCTGAAGAGTCATGGGTTTGTTGTGAGGATCAAATGAGACCATGGATATGAAAGTACGTTGCCGATTGTGTGTGTGTGTGTGTGTGTGTGTGTATAAATATCCACACACAAAAAAGTTGTCTTGAGCATGCTGTCTGACATCACACAATGCCAATTGGTTTTAGTCTCCATGTATTAATAAGGCAAATAATGATTTGTTAAATCACCAGGCTTTTGCTAGAATGTGGACTTTTTTCATTTAACAAAAAACATGATGAAATCATCTCCATTATGTTTATTTCAAAGTGTTTCAACTGTTTCAACCCAAGTAGACAATAACTGAGGGTGCCATGCACATGGTGCTTCAGTTAATAGACTAGCCAAAATAATGGAAAACGGTGATTTGGTGATAAGCTGACATCGGCTCCCATTGTATACCATGTGCAGCCCATGAGATCCCAGGATTACAACTCTGGATTCAGGTAAAGTTTGGTTATAACTGCCCAAGGTTAATTCCTCATTCTTTCTGACTGGAAATTTGAATTCTGGACTGCTCATCCATAGAATACCACTGATTGATTAACTGTCACTCCAGTCTGCAGAAAGGAAGAGAGAACTCAGGGTTCTCCTGAACTACAAAGCTCTCTCTGTTTTTCCTACAAATTTCACTCAGGCTTCAAATTGAATTTACTCTTAAACTGAATGCATTTTATCTATACCTGGCAGGGATCTAGAAGTAAAATTATAAGATTTATTTCATTTTAATTCTATTGTGATGCATTTAATCACAAATACCCCCAAAAAGAAATGATAATTTATCATTTTGTCCTGACTGAGCAATCCTCCTTTGTTCACATTCATGAATCCATAATACAGAGAGGAGACTGGATGATTAAGTGTCCGATTAGAGAAAACAGATTAACCTGGCAAACACAATAAATTTAACTCATAAGCAGGATGGCTTTATAAATGCTCACAATAACTCTCCTGTAGAAAATCATGAACCACTTCCTTCAGTGATGACTCAATTGAAATAGTTAGGGAACATAAAGCAAATGTGTGTTTATGGCTTTCTCTTTGAGACATTCAACGGGTATTAAAAGGCATATTTGATTCATCTTAGAACTCTAAAAATATATTACATAGGAAACATGTAATAAAAATATAAGCTCAAAAAAAAAAATCACCCAAAGCTACAATCTCTCAAGTGTTCTAGTTTCCACTTTGCCAGTGATTATATCTAGATCCCTCATGCTTTCCATGTCCTTCTACATTCTCTATGTCTCCAAAGTTGCCAAAACCAGACCCAGTTTCAAACCATGCAGACTCACCCTTAATTTTCATAACAGAATCTGATGCCTTTATAAAGGCAGCTGCATCTTTACATAATTTTTATCCCACTGTGGCAAAACACATAAAATTAGCAAGCTATTTCAGCCTTTGAATCCTTCCTTTTAGCTGAGATTCCATTTAAATCAGAGTCAAAATCTAGGTTATGACTTGTTTGAAGGAAAGTCCTGTACAGAGCTCCAAAAAGTTCACTTAGCAGTCCACCAGGCTTTCCTTACTTAGCTGGCTAGTCTTCCTGGCCTCCCTTTTTTAGCAGTAAGAAAAGGGATACTCTTCATGCCCAGCTTTATTTTTAAATTTGCATGGCTTTATTCCTGGAAGCCTCTGTTGGCCTATCTGGCCTAAAAGAGGGTCAGTTAGGCCCTGCTCTGTCACATGCACCCAAGTCATGCTGAATAAGGGACCTGCAGAACCGACCTTTGGTAGGGGAAGGGCAGAAGTGGTGAGGGGGGGAACCGGCTGCCGGAGAGTGGCTTGTCTTTAAGGAAGGCCTCATCCCATCAGGAGCCAGGTAAACTTGCACTGGGAGAAACTAGTACCTGGCTGTGGAGGCCCTTCCTCTCTCCTTTCTCTTTTCTCTCCTCTTCCCATTCTGAAGTTGATCTTAGGCTAGAGGGTTGTGATAGGAAGGGGTCCAAAGGGAGCCAGGGTCCATGTGTGTCCTCATAGCCCTTGGGCTCTGGATCAGGTTCATAAGCCCTCACCGTGTAGGCGTGTGTGTGGTGGGAAGCAGGGAAATTTTCTAAGGCCACTCCCTCCTTCCACCTTTGCTGAGTTAAAGACCGAGATGCTTTCCTGGGACACAGGCCCTGAGGGTCCTTTCCTGGGTAAGGGAATTTGTGCAGCGCTAGAAGGGTGTATACTTCTAGCGGTGCAGTGTGCGTTCATGACGAAGGTACACGAACATTTCCGGGCTCAACAAGACGTGTAAACTTAGAAATTGCTGCGCCTAGCACAATCCTTGATACCATAAAAAGTTTGATGCAAGAGTATCCCAGTGGCTAAGGGCGGGGGGGGCCGAAATCATCGGTCAGGTTCTGCGCTGGGGCTGCGCTTTGACCGCTGCGTGCGTGTGTGTGTGTGTGTGTGTGTGTGTGTGTGTGTGAGGATCAAATGAGACCATGGATATGAAAGTACGTTGCCGATTGTGTGTGTGTGTGTGTGTGTGTGTGCGCGCGCGCGCGCACAGGGCACGTGCCTTGTCGGGGCTCCTCCGAGTGAGGGGTGTGAACCCCGGCGGTGGCGCGGGCCAGGATGGGAGCCGCAAGCCGGCGCGGCGGCGTCAGGGGGCGCCGGGGCGCGCGGCGGGGCTGGCGTTGGCGCTGGCGTTGGCGCTGGCGTTGGCGCTGGAGGGCGGCGCTGAGCGGTGGCGGGCTGCTGCGCTTTGACCTCTCCCGAGAGCAGATGGAGTGGCCCCGTGGCCGCTAGCCAGAGGGACTGCAGCTGCGAGGCCAGGGCGACCCCGGGACCCCGGCAGCTGCCACCGGTGGGAACGACGCCCCCGGACTTGAGCGAGGTGTGCTGGGGATGGCGGGGAGGACCTCTGGGCTCCCAAACAACCTTGTTTGCACCACCTGTCCGATGTGAAAAACTCAAAGGACCAGTAGAGAGCATCCATACCCTTCTTTGTTACAAATGGAGGAACTGAGTCCACAGGGAGAGACTCAGTCCCCAAGTCACACAGCTATTAAGTAGCAGCACCAGGACTAGAAAACTGGTCTTGCTTAAGAGGTTTTTTAAACCTATCGTTCTCACTGAATGAATAAGGATAATAAAACAAGTAATTAGTATTATAAAATATTAGATTTGGGGGATGGTGATACTACTTTGGCATTCCGGACTATTAATATGATTTATGTGCTGGAAAAACCCAGCCACTCTGTCCTCCCTGGGCTTGGGCTTCTCATTCCCTCATTCATTAAATATTTGCTCAGCAGTTATTTGTGTCAGGCGCTCTGCTAGAAACTGAAGATGTAGAGACAAACAAGAACCAGCCCTCCCTACTGAGCAAAAGAGATTATTCCCTGGACACCAGTAACTGACGCAGGTGTGGGAAACGCAATAGGGGTTTGATAACGCGCGGTGGACACTCCCAAGGAGATGTCATTTCTGGCTGACTGCAAGAAGACCTTGGGGAGGGGGTGGCATCTGACCTGGATCTCTAAGAGTGGGACTTTGGGGGGTATTTGGAAAGGGGCAGAGCATTCCAGGTAGAAGGTTCAGTGTTAGCAACAAAATTCCAGGTGAGTGTGAGGAATAAAGAATAGTTTGGTTTTCCTAGAATGCAGGGATGAACATATGCGGGCAAGATGGGAGTCAGTAGTGGGGAGCCTTGGAGGGATTCCAAGCAGTGGCTGAGTGAGGGTGGTTCCTCTGGTGGGGAGGATGGTTCATCTGGTAGGGAGGATGGTTCATCTCCCCAGCTGTCGCGTGAAGATGTGGGACCAAAGAGCCTTGCAGCTTTGAGGAGCTGTGAAGTAGCCATTCTGGGAGTGCGGGGCTTCATGGAGCCATCTCAGTGTATGGGACCATGGATGAAAAAATGCAGCTGAGGGTGCCTGGGTGACTTAGTTGTTAAGTGCCTGCCTTCCGCTCAGGTCATGATCCCAGGGTCCTGGGATTGAGTCCCGCATCAGCCTCCCTGCTCAGCGGGGAGCCTGCTTCTCTCTCCCTCTGCCCCTCCCCCTGCTTGTGCTCTCGCTCTCACCATCTCTCTCCCTCTGCAAAATAAATAAATCAACTCTATTAAAAAAATGTTTTAAAATGCAGCTGAAGTGGGAAAAGGTCCAAATCTAATTGGGAGACTGTGGGACTAGGGATGGTCTGTGGTAATGTTTAGGACTTCCAACAGCATTGCATTCTTGGGAGTAGTTTGTGGGAAAAGTGCTCTTAGTATTCCTGTAACACAGGTGGCCTCATGGACATGAGCAGCAGGTAATCAGCCTGTCCCTATCTGTGCAGGGGACAGTGATATCTTTAGATGCATCCAGAGGGACCAAGAAGGAGCTTTAAACAAGGTAGCCTATTTTGGCAGTTGAAACAAGAAATTTCTTGTACAAAGATTACAGATTTACCTTCATGCCACTCTTTATTATGAACTAGACAAACAATTCTGTGCAAATGAACTGTTAAAACCAAGTATTTTTTATGTTAACGGTGACACACACAGATTGTAATAGAGGCCTTTATAAATGTATCTTTCATTAGTTCTGTGTCATCTCATGTTTATGAAGCACATTTTCTTGTGCCCAAATGAAATGGGCAGATGTAGTCCATGTAAATCAAATTACCCAAGCAGACAGGTTATAGCCGTCTATCTAAGGTCTGAGTCTAGGCGCCTTCTAGATGCTTCTAGCCCCACCTTGACATCTCTCCTGAAGAAGATTAGGGATTCCCCAAGGTCCATTTCCCATTACTCTCTGGTTCTGCATATAAATGTTTAAAACCTTTCTGTGTTGTTACATGAAACATACATTCTGTGTGCTTTCGCAGCTTCTCCATGTGATGGGTTTCTGAGAAGAGGGAAAATATGAAATGTTGTTTAGTAGCAATTCCTTTGGTTAATGATGTTAATCAGTAGTATAAAGAAGGAGCGTGCAGGCAGGAATAAGAAGACATACCTGGATTTGAATTCTATCTCTGCCACTTACTACTTTTGTGACTTTAGGTCTGATAGGTAACTCATTGGAGCCTCAGGGTCCTCCTCTGTAAGATGGTGATCATGATACCCAGCTCACAATTGCTAACTGGTCCAACAGTGTGCTAGAAGTGCTGCAGAAATGTCAGTAATGGAGGCAGTACAGTGTGAATGAGGAGAAGCAGATAGGAGCAGGAGCCTCATCTTGGAGGTAGGCTAATCTGGGGCCAGGTGTGGGTTCTGCCCTTTCTCACTGTGTGACTTTGGGTAAGTTCCTGAACTGCTTGTGAACATCATAAGCCTCATCTTTAAAATGGGGGAAATAATTATCTCTACTTCATGGTGTTGATTTGAGGATTACACTTAGCACCGTTCCTGGGAAACAGGAGAGAATATTAGAGATGAAAGAGACCTTACAAGGCCTCCTTACCCTAATCACCCTCGCCTTCCACCACCACCGTGGGAATGTTATTTTTATCAACCCTGACTGTATTTAAACATTCCCAGTGACAGACTGCTATCGGCACAAGTTGCTCTATTCCATTGTTGGATCACTTTCAATGAAGTTTTCCTCATACACAGCTGAAATCTGCCTCAATATTTGTCCTCTTCTATGTCCTGTATCTAAAAAAAGCATTGGTCTCTTTTTTTTTTTTTTACTAATATTTTTGTTTTTAGGTAACTGTAGATTCACATGCAATTGTAAGAAATAACACAGAGAGATCCCTTGTACTTTTACCCAGTTCCCCCAGTGGTAACATCTTGCAAATTGTAGTGTGATATCACAGACAGGTTATTGCATTGATGTGATCGAGATGCAGAACATTTCCATCATCTCTAGGATCTCTCGTGTTGTCCTTTTATAGCTACACCCATTTCCCTCTCACCACTTCCTTAACCCCTGGCAACCACTATTTGTTCTCTATTTCTATAATTTTGTCATTTCAAGAATGTTCTATAGATAGAATCATACAGTATCGAACTTTTTGGCATTGGCTTTTTTTCACTCAGCATGATTCTGTGGAGATTCATCCAGGTTGTTGCATTTATCGATAGTTTGTTCCTTTTTATTCCTTGGTAGTATTCCATGATATGGCTGTACCACAATTTAGAGCAGGTGACCTTTTTATAGATCACCTTTTTATAAGGTCACCTGGGCTGTTTCCAGTTTTTGGCTATTATGAATAAGCTGCTCTAAACACTCACGTACAGGTTTTTGTGTAAATACAAGTCCTCATTGTCTTCAGTCTCTGGGGTAAAGGTCTAGGAGTACATTGCTGGATCATATGGTAGTTACAAGTTTTTAAAGAAATTGCTGTATTGCTTCAAGAGTGGCTATGCCATTTTATATTCTCACCAGCAAATGAGTGATATAGTTACTGTGCATCCTTGCAAGCATTTTCTGTGGTCTGTATTTTTTATTTTAGTTCTTCGGATAAGTGTGTGATGCTATCCCATTGTGGTGTTAATCTGCATTTTCCAAATGGCTAATGATGTTTAACATGGCTTACTTGACATCTGTGTCTCTTCTTTGGTGAAATGTCTTTGTGTCTTTTGGTCATGTTCTAATTGTATTTTTGCTCTTTTACTCTTGAGTTTTGAGAGTTCTTTATATGTTCTCAATACTAGGCCTTTCTCAGATATGTGGTTTGCAAATATTTTCTCCCATTCCGTAGTTTGTCTTCTTGAGCTTTTAACAGGATCTTCTGTAGTGCAAAAGTTTTACATTTTGAGGACGTCAACTTGTCAGTTTTTCCTTTTATGGATAGTACTCTTGGTATCAAGACTAAGAACATGTCTACCCTAGATCCTGGAGAGTTTCTTTTATGTGCTTCCCCCCCCCATGTTTTATAGTTTTACATTTAATTCCATGATCTGTTTTGAAATATTTTTTTGCATAAGACATGAGACTTAGGTAGAAGTTTGTATTTTGTTTTGTCTGTTGTTTTGTTGCAATGAATATTCACTTGCTCTCACACTATTTGTTGAAAATCTTTTGTAAAATAGCATATGACCTTTGGCAAGTCAAATTATCCACCTGTTACTATTTCCTCTATCTTGAAAATGAGGGGCTGTGCTAGGACTAGAGGGGTGTTATTCAAGCTCCATTCCTAGAATTTCTGGGGCCCCAGAGAACCTCAGTAGCAACAGCAATGAGAAGCAGATGGGATTGCCATGCTCCTTCCTGACTTAATCCAGGGCAGAGCTACTTTTGCGTTTTATATTTTTGTGGGTTCGTCTGATATTTGATTTAATTCAGGGCCCTGCTGGTAAAAACAGGTTTGGAGAGCAGTGGATTAGGTAATGTCTGACGTGCTTTTCTGCAGTAAATTGCTGTGATTCTAAGCGCTTGGTGCTGGAACTCACTTTTCCCTTACATATTAGCCTCCAGTCTCCTCCCTTAGTTTCTTGAGTGGTTACTCATATGAAATGTTTTCCTTGTTATCTCACCATCCTTTATTATAAATATGATAGGCTTCATGAAATCAATTAACTTACATTTCATAAATCAGTTTACAAACTATATGTCAGAATTGAAAATGTGTTAAATATATTAAAGTCATGCAGTGGAATATCCGTTTCACAGAATTATTGTGGCTGAAAGGACAAGAAACTAAAATCACACAAAAGCCATGAGCCACTTTCTCAACATTTACAAACAGCCACCTCTGTTTTACCATTCACCTGTCTAGCTCTGGCCAGTTCACAAATCCTGGTTACTGCAGCTCACCACCGCTGCCCCAGCATCGGGAACCATTTTGTACCCACACAGGCATACAACCACATTTTTCATTTTCAGTACGATACTCAATAAATTACATGAGATGTTCAACACTTTATTATAAAACAGGCTTTGTGTTAGATGATTTTGCCAACTGTAAGCTAATGGAAGTATTCTGAGCATGTACAAGGTAGGCTAGGCTAAGTTATGATGTTTGGTAGGTTAGATGAATAAAATGCATTTTGACCTATGATATTCTCAACTAACAATGGGTTTATTGGGATGTAACCCAATGTAAGTGATCTGTATGAAGGTTTCAATGGGTATTTTCCAAAAGTTGGCATTAGCTACTGTATATTTTTTCTATAAAATGGAATAACAACATAATAAGCTCAAATAGTTGTTTAAAAAGTTAAATAGGGTTAATTGAGATAGTGCATTTGAAAAAAAAAAAGTGTTCACTACAAAGTGCTCTCTGTTCAAAGGATGATTATTATTGTAAGCTTGGCTAGGTCCCTGAATTCTCGTAGGCAGCTGTGTGTGTGCTTGCTGAATCCTATTCATGGGAAATGTGTTTGTTTATTTCATAGTATATTATCTATTTTTCCTTTTAGTGCCCATGTGGCCAAATTCTGAACTCCATCTTAATAAGACTCAAACATATTTGACAGAGTGGTTAGACTTAATGGTTTCCATAAAGTTGTTTTAATAGTTATTTTTCAACAGATGGACAGCTTACATTTGGCTGCATTTCTGTGACAGTGTGAAGATTGAAGTTTTCAACAGATGGCACACAAATACTTGGGAAAACACCCTCCCAGTATTAAGTGTTGTAAAAAAGACTTTTAGAGTGCCAGAAAAATGAGGGTCTGTATTCCCAAGTCCTTAGCCTATGCTATTATGATTATAATTTAGATGGTTTGGAAATTTCCCTTTCTGGCACTTGGATTTATTTTGTAAATGAGCATACATATCTATATTAGAGTGAGAGATGTTGAGAAACTCTGCTCTCAATTAGAGAGTCAACATGGCTATAGCACTAAATCTCCTTTTGAGTATTGATGAATGTCTCTAGCTTCCGCCTGCTCAGTCATTCTACTTCCGTGCCATACATACAGAGAAAATGTAACCTTCCATAAAAATCAACCATGAGAGATTTATATGTTCTTTCTGAAAAGTATTGACTTAAAAGGAAAAAGAAAAACTTCACCAAACTTAGAATTTTCAGACATATTCATCAGCATGGTGAACTCCCCAACCTTCCAAGTTGTCTCACTTCTACAATGGCTCCCTTACCCTGTTTCTGGAATCAGTAAGTAAAGAATCAGACAGTGAGTGAAGCAGTAGAGGAGTAGTGGAAATCTGTGGGATGTTTGTGGTTGTCACATGACAAAGAGCATTTACTGATGTTGAGTGGGTAGAGACTGAAGTGTCTACTCCTGCACAGTACAGTTTGACACAAGGAAGAAGTGTCCTGTTCCTTACAGTATGACTGAATATCTGGCTGGCCACTCATCTGAGCCTGGAACTTATCTCTGGTTAAGTTAAATGATAGAATAAGTTTGCAATATAAGGTATTTTTTTGCACAGAATATCAGTATCCACTCATTCCCTCTTCGTTGATTTTACTGTGCTGATATATGAAAGGCTGAAAGACCTCTCATCTTCTGCTTCTGAATGCTGACTTTTTCATGCTCAGTGAGTGCAAGCATATGGACACTTTATTATAGCTTTTGGTACAGTCACGGACTTAGTGTTTACATAAAATGGATATTATTATAAATTCATTTCCCCTTTCTATTCCAAATAGGGCACCCTATTAATACTTCTGGAATTTTGTATATAGGTAAATTATATTATCTATGAATTTCTGGATCTAAAGAGAGAACTATAAAATGCTTAGTATTATAAAGGAGCCCTGGGGTTGATCAGTATGAGAAGCATTGCTGTAGAAAATTAAGCAATTAACAGATAAAATTCTTTCTCGCGTCTTTTTCACTTGTGCGCGCATAATTCAGTGTTGAAATCATTCAAAGAAAAGGACAGTGGTGTAAGTTTAAAGTCTTTAATAAGGAATGCAATCCCAATAAATTCTGTATTCTTATACTTCTATTGTAGTCTTAAATGGATTTTCTTTTGGCAAGTCATGTCAGCTAGACGTTCTTTGTGTCTGTCATTGCAGATGGCGTTTAATGATTGCTTTAGTTTGAGCTATCCTGGTAACCCCCAGCCAGGGGACTTGATTGAGGTATTTCGTTCGGGCTATCAGCACTGGGCACTGTACTTGGGTGATGGTTATGTTATCAACGTAGCACCTCTAGGTAAGGTTTGTTTCCAGCAACTCCTGAGAGCTTTTGAGTTTTCTTGAAATGAAACAGGATGAAACCAGAGAGGGAGACAAACCATAAGAGACTCTTAATCTCAGGAAACAAAAAGGGTTGCTGGAGTGGAGGGGGGTGGGAGTGATGGGGCGGCTGGGTGATGGACATTGGGGAGGGTATGTGCTATAGTGAGCGATGTGAATTGTGTAAGACTGATGAATCGCACACCTGTACCCCTGAAACAAATAATACATAATATGTTAATTAAAAAAATTTGATTGGTGTATCTTAAAAAAAAGAAGGAATCATGAATGAAATCATGCAATAAAACAAAATAGAAACAAAATATAGAAAGTAGATAAATCTATCTGAAAAGGTTTAGGGAAGGACATACAAAGACCAAAGTGGCATTGGATAAATCACAAAGACCAATTAACATTAAGATTTAAAACCTCTGGATTGGAAAATAAAAACACAATTAAAACATAAATAATCCACTGGGGAAAATATTTGTCACAAACATAATAAGTCATTGTCTTTATATATCACACAAATTATTTCAATTTGTTCAACATTTACTTATAGATTACCCAGTATATGCCAAATGCTATTCTAGATGCTGGAGATACATAAACACCAAAATCCCAACAAACAAATGGGTAAAGAACTATGAACAGTTTGTAGGAGAAGAAAAGCAGAAACCAATACCTATCTTTAAAGGTAGTAATCTGGGAATTGTATAATAAAATAACAGATTTTATGACTATCACATTAGGAAATATTTAAGAATGATAGCAGTCAGTGTGGATAAGGCTATAATGAAATCAAAACAAGGATACTGTTGAAAGAAATGAAATTCACTAATATCATTCCTGAAAACAGTTTAACAATATGTATTAAAAGTCTTAAAAGAGTTCACGTGCTCTGACCCTGTAATTGTACTTCAATGAGTTTATTCTTCAGAAATATTTATAGAGATGTAGAATAACATTCTTTATAAGAGTGTTTGCTTCTATCTCATTTATAACAGTTTAAAAAATAGACAATAACAAAATAATAAATTTGGTGAGGATGCGGAGAAAAAGGGAACCCTCCTGCACTGTTGGTGGGAATGCAAACTGGTGCAGCCATTTGGAAAATAATATGGAGGTTCCTCAAAAAATTAAAAATAGAAATTCCCATGATCCAGTAATTCCATTACTAGATATTTACCTAAAGAAAATGAAAACACTAATTTGAAAGGATATATGTACCCCTATGTTTATTGCAGCATTATTTACAATAGCCAACACATGGAAGCAACCTAGGTGTCCATCCATAGATGATGAATAAAGAGGATGTGGTATATACACAATGGGATATTACTCAGCCATAAAAAAGAATGAGTTCTTGCCTTTTGCAACAACATGGATGGACCTAGAGGGTATTGTGCTAAGTGAAATAAGTCAGAGAGAGACAAATACCATGTGATTTCACTTACATGTGGAATCTAAAAAAAAAAAAAAAACCTCACAAAAATAAGCAAACAAACAAGCCAGAAACAGACTCATAAATACAGAGAGCGAATGAGTAGTTGCCGGTGGCCGGGGGGGGGGGGGGGGAGGGGGATGGGTGAAATATGTGAGAGGGATTAAGAGGTACAAAAAAGAAATCAACAGTGGATTAATGTTCAATAGGGGACTAGTTAAACAAATTATGACTTTGCCACAGATTAGAATATTCTGTGTTTGACAGAATTCTTTAGTTGCAAGTAACAGAAAACAAACACAAGTTAGCTTAACCAAAAAGGCAAATTCATTGCTTCACTGAGGGACACTACAAAAAAGGATAAAGATGGTACTGGCCTCAGGGACGCCTGGATGTGGGTGTTTGACCATATGATTATCAAGCCTCACATCTGCATTTTCTTTCTATATCTTGTCTTAATTCTCTCAGACAATGTCTCTCTAGGAAGCTGAACCAATAACCATGAATATCCTCCGGCTGTCATTCTTACACTCCTGTGACACAATAGGAGAGAGCTAATCCCTGCCTGTTCCAGTAGGAAATAGCATGGAGAACAATCCTAACTGGTCTAGTGTGGATCCCATGCCCATCACTGGACCATCCCTGTGCCCAGGAGAATGAGATACTATAACTGACCCACACAAAATCTTTTCCAGAAAGAAACAGACAGTTGTGGGATGGGGTGCTGGATAGGCCAACAGCTACCATAATGGCCATTAAAAAACCTTATTTCTGGCCACATTTAATTGCATGAGAGATAATCTTGCATGATATTTATTTGAAAATTCCATATTAAAAGTGCAGTATATAATATGATACCTAGTTTGCAAAGAAATAATATATACACGTGAATGCACACATACACACGCATCTGTATACATGTGTTAATAACAGACATAATAGAAGTACATCAAAATAATAACAGTTAATTCTGGGTGGGTAGATAATGGGTGATTTATATCTACATATTTATGTAGTTTTTTCTGTACTTCCTAAATGTTTAGAAATAAGCACAAATTAATATTTTTTAAGAAAAAATGTATGCAATTAAATAGACTGGAACATTTTTTTCTTCAAGATACCTTTAAAAAGAAGTGTTTATAATCCTAGTCTTACTATTTTGGAAACATCTGAGAATTTTTAATGAAGTGGTTTTTGCAACATTTTGAGATATTTGCCTCTTGTTCTAGAGTATTGGAAATAGAAATGGCAATAAAGTGACATTTATGATAAAGAGCCATTAGTTTCTGCAGAGTCTAGTGATTAACATCAAGCAATGCTACATTATTTCTGCAGTTTTAACATCTAAAAAATAATAAAGAGACTCTTCTGTTCTTATTTTCATGCATTAAGCTCCATGTTAATGTGGTTCTAGCATGGAGCTTTGATCCTGTAGACTGAAATCCAATTCCTGGTTCTGTTGTTAACTGCTCACATCATATTTTGCAACCCAGTTTACCTCTCCAAGCTTCAATATCCTCATCTGTAAATTTATTGCATCAGACTAGTTTTTTAAAATTTTAGTAATTCTAACTAGGAGATACATGCTTTGAGAACTTTCAATGTGTAAGATATTAACTGGAAATGCTGCTTGAATGAAAAGGAGCTTGGAAAGTAGGAAAAAATGAGTAGAAAAAGGAAGAGTGTCTAAACACCAGTTATATGGAGACTCCCCCTCTCATGATTTACTTGAACAAATAGCCAAGCATAGAAGTCTCAAGCAGATGGAGAGGGACCAGGGCCTGATGTTAGAGCTGAACACTGAACAATCATCTGTCCAGGCTCAGATACTGACAGTGGCAGCCAGAAGACAATGGTCCCTGGCAGTCTAGGCAAATGCTTGGCAATTAAGGTAGCTAAAACGGAGTGGCAGGAGGCGGGGCGTATAACAGGTGGGTGGGTAGGACATAGCCTGGGGCCACATCTAGTGGACAGCAGCTACTAGCTTAGGTTCAGTTTCAGGACTTACTTTCTTGGCCAAAAGGAACTGTCAAGACAAAAGCAGGGCCCCAGTTGACCCTAGCTGACCCTTTAGAGGACCGAGGTACCATGTAAATTTGGACCCAAGTTGAAGCCAAGTTGAAAGGACAGGTGTAAAAAGCAGAGGAAGGGGTAAGGAGCACAGATTTGACACTGGGATGAGCTTACTAATCATAATGCACAACTGTCGAGGTCCAGAGATATTAGTTTGGAAGGGTTCAGATGCTGAAAAAGAGCATGTTTTATAGAAAAAGGTGGACAGTGATCTTAAGTGTACTATGCTAGGAATATATACCAAGATCACTAACAATAATGCCAACTGATAGAGATCTTATTCCTCAAGTGTGGTTAGTTTTCTTACCCAGTCGGCTCTATGGACAGATACAAATTTTCAAAGGGTTTCCTTATATTCTCACTCATATTGTATTAAGTGTTATTGATAAACTACAGAATGAGTTGTTCAGTCTGGCAAGATTAAGTGGCCTCTGGTTTGGTGGTAAGTTAGGAACAGAGCTTCCTTCAGTGGCTTCAGTGACTCCATCACTTCCAAGGGTGAGGCATTGCAATTTCATGGCATTGGGGTTCACTGGGTTGTGTCACTCGATCTTGCTAACCAGAATTCTCCTTCTAGAGCATAGCATTTCTGCATCATTTACAAGCGCCAAGTCTGTATTCAGCCGGAAGGCCCTGGTGAAGATGCAGCTGCTGAGGGATGTTGTGGGAAATGACACATACAGAATAAACAATAAATATGATGGGACCTACTCCCCTCTCCCTGTGGAAGAAGTCATGCAACGGTCAGAGACGGTTATTGGACAGGAGGTGGAATATGACATACTTGTCAACAACTGTGAGCATTTTGTGACTTTGCTTCGTTATGGAGAAGGAGTTTCAGAGCAGGTGAGTTTTCTTTAGAAGATATATAAAATATGCTTCTTACATTGGAAAAATAACTACTGACTATAAGATTCCCAGGCTGCAAACAAAATGAAAGGGACAAGAAAATACGAGAACTCCAAAGGGTAAAGGAAGGAATCGAGTTGTCCACGGTCATGTAGCAGGTTAATGGCCAAATTAAAGCTAGAACGTGGACATCATGAATTTGGGACTGGAAGGGACTTGAAGCAGAATCAAGACCATAGCTTTTCTGTCAGTCTTAGTGCCCCTCTGTCCTTCAGGGTTTTGTTTTGTTTTCCCATTTCCCTGCCGTACAGCAGTCTCAAATCAGTAACTTCACACACTGAAAGGAACATTCTGAAAAGAATGTTGACGTTTTTAAGTGGGAGTTCATTTGCCAAAAACATAGATGGTAACTTTGGGATTCTTTTCCATTAGCTGAGAGAGGCCAACTAATGACAGACATATTTTGGTGGGTTTGAAAATGATTTCTGTCTCCTTGCAACGCTAGTTTCAAAGGAATTTTGTGCTTTTAAGCAGATCCTTTGATTCATTGAGCTATCGGATGATTTTTTTTTAAAAAAATGGATCGATTATTTTTAAAATAGCATGCAATGTTGTCATTTCTCACATTATTTTGTAGCATGGCAGATTCCTAACTAAAAGCATGCTTGATTCATTTGCCTTCTTTGTACCTATCATACCACAAATCCAATTCCAACATTGATGTTTTAACCTAAAGATTTATTAAAGTGATATAAAGGAATGAATAAAGGTTCCCAGTATCTTGAAATGGTTGAATCCGTTATATAAACGTCTATTCTAAGGAGTGAGTTTACAATTCTTCTCACGGAAGCTTGGGAAGATAGGAAGGGGGCCATAATGAAAGGATACATTTGTTTTCATTAGGAAATAATTTAATTGGAAATTCATTTTTACTAGGAAATACATTAACATCATGAATGTTCCGTTCACATGTAACAATAAATTGCTCCTGAACCAGAACAGAGGATATCCACACAAATTCCTGCTCACCTTCGCATTGAAAACTAGTGGTAGAGCTAGGAAATGGAGTCCATCCCTCTCATTTGTGAATGGTAAAGTTGTCCACTGTGTTCAACAAGCAATTTTTTTTTAATGTGACTTAAAAAAAAGGATTAGAACCATCTTTTTGCTTTGACTCTAATTTACAATCCCTCATCTTTTCACCTTTCATACCCAGAATCAAGACCCATGAAAAATTAATCGTTCCTCAACAACTAGAACTGTTCTCTAGCAGGTTCTGTTGAAGACAGTGACAGGCTTTAGAAGCCATCTAAACTTTGGAATTCTGCTGACTGGAACTAGAACCTCCTCTTCCCCAGGTGTTAGCTGGGTGGTTTAGGGAACATTGTTTATCAGTTTCCTAATCTATAAACTGAGGTTTGGAGGATTATAGGAGATGTTTGAAGTCTGTTAGCACACTGTATTACATATTATCCATTCCTGAACCAATAAGACTTAGATGAATATTATTTTTAATTACAATATTTTAAGAATTTTATACATCTTTGTTGGTACTCTTCAATAAAATGTTCTGATAGAAACTATAGCACTTGTATTATTATTTTCATTACTATCAATAATTAATAGTAATATTACTAATAATAGCTAATATTGGATTCATTTTGGATCTCCTCAGGGCTTTGGGGTCTTGAGCACAGAACTGTTTTTGGGGGGGAATGGCTATGTATTTCTCCCAATTTAAAAAACTGCAAATGCATTTAAAAAGATTAGAAAGGTGGAAGGATTGAGGCCCCATCTTTTTCTTCTTTGTGCTTTTCTGTATTTAAAAAACAATAATAGACCTTACATTTTAGAGAAGTATACAATTCACAGCAAAACTGAACTGGAAGTTTAGAGAGTTCCCTTGTAGCTTCCCCATCAGCCACGTACACAGCCTCCCCCACCATCAAGAGTCCACATCAGCATGGTATACTTCTTACAAAAGATTAACCAACACTGGCACGTTACCCACCAGAGTCCATCGTGAAGGAAGCCAGAATATGTCACCCCAAAATATGTAGCATAAGGATTATTTTGAGCTGAAGGCAGTTGAGAAGCAGACCCTAAAAGTGGGACATACATTTTCAAAGGTGTCCCTCTTCCCTTCTCTAGCAGGAAGGACAAACGTAAATCATCCAGGACAACTAGTGGTTATCATTAAGATTCTTCCTAGCCTGGAGAGGACACCAGAGGAATCTAAATGACAAGCTTAACTAACTAGCCTTTGTCATTAGTTTCCCATATATTTACCTTCCCATGGTCTGCTGCCCCGGGAAGCCTAAAACTGCTTTCTTTTGTCCTGTCATTACTCTACAAATCTATTGTTCTTTTTTGAAGGTGCTATATAACCCTGAATTCTAATCCACCTCTTTGGGTTACTCTTCCCTGAGTTTCTCCCATGTATATATATATATATATATATATGAGATGAACATGTTAATAAACTTCTTGGTTTTCTTTCGTAAAGTTGTCTTTTATTAGCAAGCCTCAGCTGAGAAACTAAGGAGGACACAGGAAAAATTTTGCCTCTCCTAAAATAGTTTACATTAGGTTTCACTCTTAGTGTTGTACATTCTATAAATTTTGACAAATGTATAGTGACATATATCCATCATTACAGTTTCATACAGAATAATTTTCCTGCCCTAAAATTCCTCTGTGTTCTGCTGGTCTATTCATCTTTCCTTCCCTCTAAACCTCTGGCAACCATTGAGCAGTGTGCATACTAAGGAATATGCATGTAAAATTCCTCCATGTCTTTTCATGGTTTGGTAGCTCATTTTTCTTTATCACTCAATAACATTCCATTGTCTGGATGTACATTCACTTACTAAAAAACATCTTGGTTGATTTCAAGTTTTAGTAATTATGAATAAAACTGCTAGAAACATTTGTGTGAAGGTTTTTGTGTGGATATGGATTTTCAGCTCCTATGGGTAAATACCAAGGAGCATGATTACTGGATTGTATGGTAAGAGTATGTTTAGTTTTGTAAGAAACCACAAAAGTGTCTTACAAAGTGGCTGTACCTTTTTGCATTCCCACCAACAGTGAATGAGAGTTCCTGTTTTTCCACATCTTCTTCACCATTTGGTGTTGTGATCATTTTGGGTTTTAACCATTCTACTAGGTACATAGTGGTATCTCATTATCTTAGTTTGCAATTCCCTAAACGTATGAAGTTAATCATCCTTTCATATGCTTCTTTGTCATCTGCATACCATATTTGATGATGTGTCTCTTGAGATCTTTTGTCCATTTTTAAATTGGATTCCTTGTTCGTTTTCTTTTTGTTGAGTTTTAAGAGCTTTTGCATATTTTGCATAACAGGTCTTTATCAGATCTGTTGGAAATGTTTTTTTCTTGTCTGGCTTGTCTTTTTTAAAAAAATTAGACATTTTCCACTGTTACAGTCTTAACAAGGTATTAAAATGTGCCTATCTTTGTGGGAGACGGCAGTGACCTTGAATAGGCCTGGACAAGCTGACCTACGATACACCCTGACTGTGCTTCAGTGCATAGCACTGTGGCCTTAGCGTCTCAGGGGAAGAAGAGTTTTGATAAGCCCTGCAGTCATCTGTGATCCAGCTACACTGTGTCAGGACACAGCACTCCAGATTCAGTTAATGTTTCATTGGGCAGGTATAGATCCTCAGAATGAGGCCTTTATTATGTCCCACAGTCAGAAAACCCTGTAAAGAATAAAGTGTGAAGAGTCAGCTTAGATGATTTTATAATCCTAATTAAGTTGTGAAATAAAAGCTCTTGTTCATAATAGTTCACTGAGAACATTCTGGGATGTTATATTCTTGCAGGTCAAATCCCATTACACATAACTCCAAGAGATTGTCTGAATTACTCAGAATTTTGCCATCTAGACTAGAACTTGTAATAAGTGTTTGGGATTTGGGAAACTGCCTACACTGTAGGAAGTAGCTTCCTTGTCATCGTATCTGGCCTATGTGCTCTCAGGGGATTTTGGTTTAGGATCACATTTCTCTCCCCAGGCCTCTTAGATCTGTGGGATTTCTCTCACCTCTTGTGTTTCTAGTGGCTGAAGGAGACCCAGTGGGTTAGGTTTGCATTTAGCCGGGGCCACCCTACCCATAGGATCCTGCCACTTTCCCAGACTATCATTTGACTCCTCTTTCTGAAGACACCCATTGCACCTTCCTATTTGTTCATTTCCTGCCACATTTGCCCATGTCAGACCTTCTTGGGATCTCAGCATCTGCCTGAAATTATATGAGGGTTAGGCTTGATTTATAATCCTTGACCCCTGTCTGATTATTGATTTTGTCCCTCTCTGGAATTTTGTCCTATATCTTAGATCTTCCTGTCCCTTTGGCTCCCCATGTGCTAAGTGGGTAGCTCTATGCTGCAGCAAATTCTGACTCTTTCCTGGGAAATAACTTAGGTGGTGACTCATTAAAAAGTATGAATAAAATAACCAAACAGAGTTAGAATTGTAAACTAAAATAGGATTTGTCAGTTGTTTGCCAAAGCCATTCTCCCTGGCACCTGGAGATGGTGGCAGAGCAGGGAGCTACAATGACAGGCCTTGTCCTTATAGACCACAGGATGGTGTAATGGAATGAATACTCCTGTCATTGTGCTTCTTTCTTGGCCAGGCCTCTGTGGTCTGTTTCCAACAGGGAAGCTGCAGTTAAGGAGGTAGCACTGTGTGGCAGTCTTGTGGGGGTGGCAGGCTATGTGGGGGAGGCCTGTGGGTTAGACAGAAGGCATGCTCAAACGTGAGCTGGGTCAGGATTTCCAGCATTTGGGTGCGTCCCTAGAGTCATTTGGGAGAAATGTTTTGCTTTATTTGAAAGCCTCATTCTTAAATCCTGGAGAACAACTGTTGTTTTCAGAATACCTGATGATTCTGAAGCATCTGAATGTGATGACCTTTGGGTCATAAAAGTGCACTCAAACTCATGCAGATGGAAGGCAATATTAGCTGAGTGCCATGAAAATCATGAATATTCATTAGATCCCTCATCATGAGGATGATTAATACCTTTAAAGCTATAAATGTCTGAACTCCTTTATGGACAGTTGAGCTTGAGAGTGGTTTATTTTAGTTTGTCTACATGAGAAATTAATTTTTAACACAATAGTTAACATCACTATTGACTTCTTTTGAAGTTTGTTTATCAAAATAGAAATTTTATCTACCAAATAAGAGCTTCTAGGTATTTAGCTTAGATTACATCTCTGAATTATTTTGCTAGTAGACATTCTCAAGTCAGGAAACACACACACGCACACACACACACACACAAATTTTTCACCCTGGTATAGACCCAACCAAACCAGTGTGTGTTTAGGAGGTAGGGATTGTTTAGAGGGGAAATACATGGTTCACGACTCAACCTATATCTAAACATCTTGCTGGTATGACTTCAGGCAAATCACTTAACTCACCAAGTTTTGCAAAACAGGAATAATATTACCTCCCAGATGTACTACCATGATTATTAGGAATTATGCCATAATGAGTTATAAATTGTTGGGGGCCATAAAAATATGAGGAATATATACTTATGTGTATTTAACTATATCTTTGTCATAATTATAAAAATTATAAATTTATTTATGCATACACAGTTAAATTTTGCATAAAGCTTTAAATTTATCCTTTGTACATTAAAAGGTCTTCAGTTTAGGAAACAAGCTAAAGTTTGGGTTTAGGACAGAGATGCCTTTAGAATAAGATGTGTTTTTTGTTTGTTTCTCATTTCTTTATAGGCCAACCAAGCAATAAGTACCATTGGGTTTGTGGCAGCTGCTGCTGGTGCCTTTTCACTCCTGGGCTTGTTTCCAAAAAGACAAAGAGCAAAACACTATTAATGATTTACTGAAGAGATATTGGAACTGAAGGAATTTGTGAGGAGGGGAAAAAAACTGGGATGAATACTTATTTTCAATGCATCATTATTGTTCCAAATTCCAGTGATGGATGGCAGGCTCCTTAATAAATTGCTTACTGATATTATCTCATCATTGAGCCATGGAAATTTTTCTCCCTACTAGCAAAGATTTGCTGTGGCAGCTTAAACAAGAAGCAGTAGCCTTTTGAGCAAGCCAGCAGAGGATTTTAACAAAATCACATCATATTTTATCTTCTACCATAAATAGTGTTTTCCTTTTTCCTGAGGGTGGCTATTTTGTACTTGCCAGAGGAATGAAGACTGTCTATATGTGATTTTAAAAGAAATGTTAAGAGCCCCAAATTGTTGAGATTGACATCTAACTTCATATTCCTTTTCTGGTCAGAAAAGAAACTAGGAAATTGAGCATTTTGTTAGGCAGTTTGAGGAGCTCTGATTAACAATCCATTTGAGAGTGCACTCCCATGTCCTAGTTCCTGTGTAGATGCAGGTGGAGTCGATGGGAGACAGCATTCTTTGCTCCTGTTTTAGATCCAGTGATTTCCCTGGGAGTGACTCATTTGTCAGGAGTATGTGACAAGCAAGAGTGGGCTGTTACTTCTACAGAGCTACATTATTCCCTTTGGATTTTGAAGTATTTCAAGGGTTTGACCCTTTTAACCTTAGCAAGAGATCATTTAATACAGGTTTAAAGTGCCATATTTAGAAAACAATATCCCGTGTTACTGTTTAAGGCTTTTACTGTAAATTAAGGAGTGTCATGATTTTATTCTTGCATTTTATTGATTATATGTTGAATGAAACAAATTCCTTTTTAATACGTTCCCAGTGGAATTCTTGTTGGCAGCAGGTGGAGAAAAGTGAATGCAGGTCTCTATACCCTAGGATTGTATCAGACATTACAACATTACCCTACAAACCACACAACTAGCCAATGACATCCTTCTTGTGCCATAATTAAAAGCATGGCATTAAATAAAGGAAAAATTCAAGTAAGTGGGGGTGGGAGGATATGATCAGGGAACTAGGAACGTGGTAGATAAACAGAAGACTCAATGAAAGTCTTGGACCTATTAAGCTGATGTAGATTTTACCCAAGGGCCAGAAATATTCTATGGTCTAATTGCATCATTAAGAGTAATGATGACAGAAGGGCTAATGTGCTACAGTCAGGGCCAGTAGAGACCCTATCTTTCTTCCTTGTTCCCTGACTAATCTCTTCTCTTTCTTATGATACCAATTCTGTCTCCAGATAACCCCCAAATTCCCTCTTCCTCCACCGGTCCTCTGGGAGGTGTGAGTGTCTTCTACCAGATACCATGATCCAAAATGACCCCTTCATTTTTATTCTAAATTAAGTTTCCTGTTCCTTTTATGTTCTGCATTCAAGTAATAGTAAAAAAACAAACAAGCAAACCCCCAAAAATCAAAAAAGATTTTCTAAGATTGTCAAATAAGGGTGAGATCGGTAGCAGTTTAATGTGTTACCTTTCCCAAGGTGTACTTACCTTTTAATAAAATATGACTGCAGAGGACAAATCTTACCCAAGGCAGGAGACTCTAGTGTGTTGGAATTACCATGCCAGCCAATGGGAGAGGAGAGGGAGTGGAACTGGAGCAGAGAAGACCTCCTAGGATCCTCAAGTCAAACCTTTCTAGAGAACTCTAGACATATCCACTCCAGAAGACAGTCCTAGTTATGCTATGTCACAAATGCACTTTTAAATTAAATTCGAGGATACCTTTTTCACATAGGTAATGTTCAGACTCCATTGGTTTTCACCCTGAGAGTAAAGCTCACAAAGTTAGTCATCAGTCTTCCCATAAAAATGGCCAGTCTTGATGATGGGCAGCTTAAGACTGTTTACGTTTCCTATAGGTAATCATTGATATGTGGTCATGCTCATTGTGCTTTTATCAAACATTTAGTCCAAGACTATTAAGTACTTTTAGCAAAGTCAAGTGTGGAGTTCAACTTTATTATGTAACCCTCCACACACAAAAAGGTGTGTGAAAAAAATATCATCATCTATCAGATAACAAATAGGTTATTGGAAAAACTGGGTGGGAGAAGCTGTACATTTATTGAATAAAGATTTTTTAAAAATCTTTTTATGTTATCTAAATGTCATGCTGTATCAGCTGAATCTCTGATTCTAAAGGTCAAATTACTAAATACAGATATGCCATTTCAAGGAACCCGAGCTGTCATATATTTTAGGTCGACATACATTCCTTAATTATAATCTAAAAATCTTTTTCATCTTTTGATCTTTCATTGGTAGTCACTAAATTAAACACATTTAAAAATTATCATTCTCCAAAGCTGTGCACCCAAGAAAAGGTTAAAAACTGAGGGTTGCTGGAGTGGTGGGGCGTGGGAGGGATGGGGTGGCTGGGTGATAGACATTGGGGAGGGTATGTGCTATGGTGAGTGCTGTGAATTGTGTAAGACTGTTGAATCACAGATCTGTACCTCTGTAACAAATAATACATTATATGTTAAAAAAAAAAGATAGCAGGAAGGGAAAAATGAAGGGGGGGAAATCGGAGGGAGAGACGAACCGTGAGAGACTATGGACTCTGAGAAACAAACTGAGGGTTCTAGAGGGGAGGGGGGTGGGAGGATGGGTTAGCCTGGTGATGAGTATTAAAGAGGGTATGTACTGAGTGGAGCATTGGGTGTTATATGCAAACAATGAATCATGGAACACTACATCAAAAACTAATGATGTAATGTATGGTGATTAACATAACGTAATAAAATTTTTTTAAAAAGCAAATAAAATGTAAATATAAAGGGTTTATTCTTATAGGAATTGGCATTTATGCTACTGGCTTGTATAACATAGTATATAATAATATTTAGGGTAATGCATTGCTGAAATGTTAAAAACATTTTTTTCAATCCTAAAGATTCCAGAATTGTAAAAGCATTATGGAATCCATACATCACAGTATTAGGCACATAATTGGCACTCGCAGAATCGAACTGGCTAACTAATTGCCTATGAGCCATTAAAGATCTGTTAAATTGGCAAAATCAGATTTATTGTTATAAGGAAAGCCTAGTAGCTAATTTAAAATGTTCACTAGGGATATATGTCCTCTCTAGGTCACAGTGAGGTTGATATTTATTAAAGGTAATAGTGTGCAGAATATATCTGCCGAGGATATACCTTTTCTTGTGGCCATTAATAATTGATTTAGATAATGAAAAGATGAAATGGAACTTAAGGTTGTTTAAGCAGCTTGATGATTGTCATGCTGTAGATACAAACATTATGGGTCCCTTCCCCGGGATTGTTTTTATGATGAGCAATGCTGAGATTGAACCAACTTTTCAACCTAGAGCTTGAGGTTTAATCTGTCAGTAGCGAAAAATAAATAGAAGTGCCATGCTCCTTTAAGTGAAAAGTACATTTTAACACGTTATCCCAATATCTTTGTGATTTTCTTGTTCTCTGACCCCAAAACAATATACTTTGGGAGATGCCAACGTTGGTGGAGTTTGCTTAGATATAAGCTGTGCCCAAGCCAAGATTATATGCAATTAACAGACATCTCCATCACTCCCCACACCCACACTTACTACAGTTAGAGTTGACTTTTCTGAAGTAAATGTCAATTCTTGTTTCTCTGTTAAAGCCATACAAAAGAAGCAAAAAAGAGGAATTTTGTGACCTTGGGAAAAGATATGCACATAAATGATCTTTGCAAGTGAATATAAGGTTAAGTAAACTTGTGATGATTTATTGAGAGAAAGGCTTTCCCCCCAAATTCTTTTATTTCTGGAGATGCAAATAAAAATATATTGGTGAAACTTTCAAACATCAAACTCTTCAATTTTCCTTTATTCTACCTATGTTCATACTCCTAATTTCACTACCATGAGAACTTGTGCATTTTAGCCAGGATAATGCTATGCAATGTGAATAGTTTATTAGAAAAAAAAAAAAAAGGTAATCCAGGACGTACATTTTTTCCCCTCAATAGCAGAGGATACAGTACAAATAGGCATATTTAAGGTTCTCTTTTGCAAGGTTCAATACATTGATAATGCACTTTGAACCCTCTGATGGAGAGAGAAAGGTTAAGGATAGACTATCATCACTTCTCCACATGGGTTTAGTTTCAGGGAATAAGGAGATGGTGTGAAGCATGTACAACGATGATTCTGATTACAGCCTCGTCCAAAAATGCTGTTCTGTGGTTTGATCTCCCAATTCGACTTTTGCTCTTGGAATCTGTTCAGGGTCCTCAAAGCCGAGATTGATATAGAATCCATTTTTGCCATTACCTGAATAATCTGTTCTGTGTGTGGGAGGCCAGGTGGAGTCTTCTGCCAGCTTTTTTTGCCAGTTCTTATATTGACTTTTAGAAGAGAATCCAAATTCTCTTTTGATCCATAGCCAGAGCCTTCGGTTTTGAAGGATGACATCCTGAGAAATCAGGAGCAGAAAACAATCAAACTATGATTCCACTTTGCCCTGCAGCCAGGTTGCTCACCACTGCTCTCTGTTCCCCCAGGCCTTCCTCTGACATGTGCTTAGTACCGCTGCTTCTGTGGCAGCTTCTCCTTCCTGCTGTCCCCACGATGTCTAGCAGCAACCCTGGTTCTTTCCGTTGGGGAGGAAGAGTGCTTGTGTTTATAGAAATCTGCCCAAAGCTTATAGGCTCTCATTTCTACAGATTTTCTAGTTAAATCCTGGCTGCTGATTCACTTAGAATTATTTTACTGCCAGACTGAAATGATAACAAAATAATGTACTCAAAATCAAGGAAAGAAAAAAAAAAAATCACTGCTACCTGCCACGTGCCACATAGGAGGTGCCATGTAATGGTTTGCTGAATGAATGGATGAACTCCAGAAACCAAATGGGTTTTACTTTCCATTTGGGGGGGGTGTTCTTTTTTCTTTATAATAGAAATGGTCAAATTTTGCATTCCACTTTTGGTTATGCTAGGCTTCCTGTCATGTACAATTTGTAGCTATGGTCTTCTTAATAATCACCTTTAATGATCAAATACCATTTTTTTCAAATTGCTGTATAACTATTTAAACAAACAGCATCACTATTTTTGAACACATGAGTTGAATTTAAAATT